TCAGTTCTGGTATTACCTGCGCTATGAAACAGCCGTCCAAGTACCAACTGGGTAATTCCTGTCAAATAAACTCATTTATAGCATAGTTATATAATTCATACAAATATACTACACATACAGCTGTGGGTGACTTAAAGCGCCGGTACATGACCACCAGTTGCAGGGGAAACCAACAGACAATTGTGGTCAGGATGTAAATGAATAGCATTTTGATGAGAGTGCGACTATGCTTGACTCGCACCGGGGTCTCGTTGATAGCCGTCATCCTCTCGTACCTATCCATATGTTTGATGATCACTGAGTGGACGACAATCATGACGATGAGCGGGAAGTACACGAGTGGTAGCATTAGGAACAGCCAGTAGTATTTCGTTGTCTCCACATTCACTTCGGGACACCATTTCTGGCGGACAGTCAGGTGTAATAAAGACAATCAAAATGCATTCAATATGTTTAATGATAAATGCCTTACCTCGAGATAGTCGGCCCATTGTCTCTCCTTATATGATCGCCAAAAGGCCAGAGGACTGGACAGTATCACAGCTAACGCCCAGATGGCAAATATGACTAAATAGGATGCCTTATGGTTGAGATGCCGTTTGAATGGGTATGCGATTGCAATGAAACGATCGATGGATATGATTACTAATGATAACACACTCGCCAATAGACATAACACTATTACAATTAATTTAAATTAAGTTTTATAACATTAATAAATTTAAACAAAATTATTACTAAAGAAATTACTTTTGAGAAATCCCTCTAATTTACAGAATACAGGTCCTAGCTCATAGTTTTGGTAGACATGGTCTACGAGACCCATCCAGGGACAGAATCTAATCATTGTGGGATAATTACATAAGTATAGAAAGAAATGTACTAGATTATTATATATGCGAGTATTACAATGTTGTGAGTAAATCGGCGAAAGCCATATTAAAAATGAATAAATTGATGTGTGATTTACGCAATGATTTGAGTTTTAAAATGAGACAAATGATGGCTAAGTTGCCAATTATTCCGATCGCCATAATTGGTAGGACCGCTAAAGACTTAATAAATATTTCCCAACCGGCCTTTCGCACCCAAATTGGATGATCAGGATCACTATAGTTATATCTGGAAAAATTAAATTTATCCACGTCAAAATAATCGGGATCACTAAATCCCAAGTCATTGACTGTGCGGGGATATGTAAAAGATGTCACATTGAGAGTCATCTCTATAGTAAAATCATTAAGTCATAAATTCATACACATTTTTAAACCATAAATTGTTATAAACTAGTTATAAATATAATAGGATTGTGCACTGTTAATGATATCAAATTTTTAACCGCTTTTATCAATTAAGTTATTTTATGTATAATTTACCCCAGCATTGGTGATAAAAACAATAAGTTTATAATAGTAATGTATAATATAACATACGGTATATTAATCATGATTCTCTGTGTTTTGAAATGCAATTTCATTTTAGACTCCCAACTGAGAAATGAGATTAATGTTGATAATATTTTATTTATTGAATTGTTATTATTTATATTTACAGTATAGTGGCCAGATATTGTTTGCTAATTTTATCATAAGTATTGACAATGTTGTCATTGTATTCATATAATTATTTTTTATCTTAATTCCATAGCAAACACTAGTTTGTATTTATTTGTACAGCAAATTATTGAGTTAAATGCCATACATTTACATGTATATCAAGTACAACATTTTAATTATTAACAGTTAATAGATTATAAGACCATACATTCAAACAGATTGTTATCATTAATAATCACGATTAATATATTATAATGAATAATTATAATGAACTATAAATAAATGAGGAAAATGACACTCAATATTAAAAATAGGTACGCAAGCACAGTGCATAATGTACTGAAAAAGTTTAATGTGATACAAATATAAAATAAATCATAGTACGGTATTTATTGGCTTTCAAAATCTCAACTATCAGTACAATTGATTTCAGCTGAAAGCCAGTGAATAAGTGACAGGAATTAAGTCAAGTGTATGCGGATTCTCATTGAAAAAAGCATAGAATCCGTCAACTATTGGTGTGTGAGGGCTATACACATATCATAACCTACTGTTCCTTGTGATTCAGCATAAGATCAATGCGAGACTTTCTGTCAATTTAATTATCATTTGGTGATAATCTATACCTATTTTCTACAAAAATGGCAAACACTACAAATGGTATTGAAATGAATAAATTGGATTCAATGGATGCGAATAAGACGGATGTGAACAATAGTTACAGCAATACATACAAACAGATCACCACTTGGATCCTCTTCTACTGTGCCTTCACTTAT